TCTCTTAATGGTGGCACCTATTTAAGCATAAAGGATTCATGCACCCTCGGCCATTACCAAAATCTCTGCTCAATCCATCATCTAATTCACGATGCAGACAAACTTTCTGAGAGTACTTGTGATCCTTTTGGGTTTCTCATATGTTCTCTCTGTCTCTGCTATCCCTGCAACTAGTAAGCCTCATCATAGGTTTTGACGAAGTACAGTTTTTTATTTGTTGGTTTCTCTTTCGATTTCTGTGCAAAATCATTTGATGGATTGAATTGATTTTCCCCATTACAGGAACCCAAAATTTGAATGGAGAAGATACATCAGTTTTGCCTTCTTTAGCTCAGGTAACTCATATGTCTCATTTAACATGATTGGATCGTATGAGACAATTTTAGTCTTTCAAAGACAAATCAATAGTTATAAGTTTTATATTCTCTATCTTAACGTGTTATCTCTCTCTTTTCTCTATCTGTTGGTTTGTTTATGATCATATTGTCTTATGATCGTGTCAAATAACACATGAGAGGATTAATTCTTCAAATATTATATATTTCTGAATCTCTTTGTTCAAAATCTGCTTTCTATTTAAGAGCCTCTTGAGCTCTTGCTTGGTAACAATGATAATCCATAAAAAGAGCTTAAAAAAAAAATAAAAAATCAGTTATACACCCCTTTTCTGATGTTGAGTTACTTCTATCACAACAATTTTTTTTTTATCAATTGTTTCTCTCTTTCTGATTTGGCCCTTGTTCATATCTGTTTTGCAACTACAGGGGGCACTGAAGTTGGAAAATGAGACGGTGGTAGATACGGAGGAAATTTTGATGGAGAGGAGGATCGATTTGGAAATACAAGACTATGGAGGGACTGGGGCAAATAAGGATCATGACCCAAAATCCCCTGGAAATGGTTGATGCCCAAAATATACATTAAATTAGTCATATCATAAACTGTAAAGGAGGATCTGAAAGAGCTGTTTTCTCTAAAAATCAAATGTGTATGTATGGTGTTGAGATATATAGTCTCACATTGGTTGTATGTGCAACTAATGTAGATTTTATAAGACCTTAGGCAACATATGGTTTTCTGCTTGCTTGTCCACGGCTTTTTTGTGTTCTATATATGTAACTAGAGCTGTTATATCAAGTAAGGTTGCTCCAAAAAAAAAAAAAAGATTGAGTAATACTCAAAAGAAAAGTTTAATGATCGTATAACTAAGTTTTGAACCAAAACTACAAGTGAAATATACTAGTATAATAATAAAATGTTGGTAAGGTATTATCACAACTTAATCAATGATTTCGAATTCGAATTTTAGATACAGTCTAAATTTTAGATATGTAACTGTGTTAAAAACTTGATTGTAGCGTTGAGGTTTTGGCTGTCTTGACTGAATTAATCCATTAATTATTCAACCGGTGGAGAAATATAAAATAAAATATTACATCCAAATTTAATTGTTGATTCCACTCGCATGATTACTAAATTAAAATCATTAGAGGTTATTAATAACTAGGGTTAGAATCACACTTACACGGGAATAAGTTAATCTCCGTGTGCGTTGAAGATGAGGATGCACATGATATTCATCATTGTTAAGGTGGTTTTAAACTTTTAATTAATACTGGATCTAGCAGTGCATTTTGTCTTCACGTGCAAGAGCGGCCAAATTTTCTAGAGTTCATTACATGCAAGGGATTTTTAAGAAATAAGAAGACACAGGGCATGGCTAACAATGTAAAATTATATACATTAAGTAAAATGCTTTCAACATTTGTTCATATCAACATTATATAGCTAAACCCAAATTAGTTTATTGACGAAAAAAAATTAAAAAAATGTAAAGGGAACTATATTATGCTTAATTTGCATACAAATCTTATCAACCAACACAAATTATTCCAATTGAATGAAAAACAAAATATATCTACCATTTTTTTCAAGATCCTGTGAAAAAGGGTGGTGCTTCAGTCCGTGAAGTTGATAGCATGCATTTTTAATATATTTCAATATTCAGTTATTCACACTATCATGTCATGAATTATTTCAGAATTCAGAACAAAGCTTTGTAATAGAAATTAGAGAATTAAGTACTTAATTATTTAAAATATTTGAAGCTTCTCGCACCAACCAAGGGTCATATTTGTATCACTCTCAACCCTAGCAAAACTGTGGACTTGATTCCACTCTAACCCTTGTTTTTTTTTTTCTTGTAAAGTTTCTTTTATTTGACATTGTATATAGGATTAAATACAAAGAGTTAATGGAGGTCCACTTCCATTAAACCAATTGTTTTGGCATGATTTGAGGGTGTTTGAAATAAGTCAACTAGATTTGAGAGGACTTTTTTAAAACACCTATAACAAATTAACTGTTTTTTTATGGTCGAACTTGCTGGTTATAGAAGATAATCACCAAAGTCCACTTTCTTTAAATATCACGTCATGTATTCAACAACGTTATCAAATTCACTTATGGTTATAGATAAAGTACTTTTGCAGCTATAGGTAAATTATAGACTCACGCTATTTGTAGCACAAAGCTTCTGAAGTTTTTTTGCCCCCTTTTTATCAAAAGATAAGCATCCCACCACAACACTCTGGGTTTAATTACTAATTAATCTTGCACTTGCTGCTTTTCAATCTTGCTACTCGTCTTTACTAATAATTAACACACATGCTTCTGGCTGCTTTCCAATCTTGCTCCTACCTTTCTTACTCAGCCCACTAGATATTATCAAGAGGGAATATAATATACTTATATTCCCCATCAGAGTTCCAAAACTGAAATCCTCTAACTTAAGTGGATTTTATGAGTTGTCCACATTTTAGTAGTGGTGGTGGCATGCCATCCCAAATGAAATTTGGTCAAAATTTTCATCATATCCTTTTCAAAATTGGGGTTATCTTAACTCATTAGAATTGATCTAGTGTCGAGGGATTTAAGTAAATTATATTATGTTATGTATTTAATTTTCATTTATATCTCAAAATAAAATAAAATTGGAGTGTTGGCCTAATGCCGCTTCCAGCAATGTTTTTACAGTCTTATAGCAATGGTAAGATTGTTCTTAGTGATCAAACAATTATAAATTTGAATCTATAAATATTTTTTATAAAAGTATAAAATTAAAATTACATATAATCAACCATCACCCCTATTCTCACGGGTTAGGGAATCTTATGCACCTAAATTTTTCCTTTCACCCTTTATAAATCCCACTAATTAGGATTTTTTTTGTTCACGAAATGGTATGCACTCTTGATTTAGGTATACCAAAGGATCTATGCGCATCGAGTGGCAGCTGGAATAAAAGTTATCACGCGTGCGGCTACCCACTTGGGAAACTTAGAGAACATGTACTTTTACTATTTCTGACAAAACCATATATAATATCAGCTTAACATAATTGCATTATATATAGAGAAAAATAGTTGTCAACCAGTTTGAGATATATTTATCTCTGTCTATCAAAAATTACGTCATTTTATTTATTTATTTTCTTATATTAATTAATTCATCTTTGAATAGTTATGATTCCATTTTTTTCTCTCTTCTTTTATCACCATTGATTCATCTTTGTACGATTATGATTATGAAGTTATCTCAAGCAACTTGAGAAACGATAAGCCCTTATATACATATATATATATATATATGTATATAAGGGCTTATCGTTTCTCAAGTTGCTTGAGATAACTTCATCTCCGGCTACTAAATCATAACCGAACAAAGATAGATCAATAATATTGATAAAGAAAGAGAGAGAAAAAGGAAATCATAACCCTCAAATGTGAATCAATTAAAATAAGGATATAAATAAACAAAACGACGTAATTTTTGGGTAAACAGAGATAAATATTTCTCAAGCTGCTTGAGAAATATTTTTTTCATATATATATATGGAGTATGATCCTTTAAATCAATGGTATCACATGCTTACAAATCAGAGTCGTTGATCTTTTTTGATCTAACGACTTTCAGAAGATGTGTCAAACTTTAAATTTGATACTAGTGTCAAAGGATTCTACCCATATATATATGTATATATAGGAATAGGAATAGGATCAACGTACACAGTATAAGAATAACAAGTCTTACACCAAATCTTAACCATTGATTTCTGTGCATCTAACGGTTGAGATTTATTGAAAATTAATAATTAGTTAATGAGTTGAATCCAATAAATATTAACCATTAGATGGACGAAAATCAATAGTTAAGATTTAGTATAAAACTTATTATTCTTACACCGGTATAAGAATATCCTGTCATATATATTTATATATATATTTATATATATATATATAGGGATAAGTTATTCTACCTACCTTTTTTTCTGCCTACCTTTGTCTACCATTTTAAAAGTTCGTTAGATCAGAATTTAAAGAAGAGAGATAAAGATAAATGTTAATTAAGATTCTGATCTAATGATCTTTTAGAGTGGTAGACAAAGATAGATAGAAAAAAGATAAGTAAAATAACATATCTCATATATATATATATATATATATATATATATATATATATATATATATATATATATATAGAGGTAGGATCCTTTGACACCGGTGTCAAATTTGAAGTTTGACACTTCATCTGAGAGCCGTTAGATCAACAAAGATCAATGATATCACATGCTTACAAATCAGAGTCGTTGGTCTTTGTTGATCTAACGGCTCTCAGATGAGGTGTCAAACTTCAAATTTGACACTGATATCAAAGGATCATGCCTCATATATATATATATATATATATATATATATATATATGATAAGTCAATAACCCTCTTACCTTTTCATCCACTATAATATAGTGATTTTTTAATTTTTTTTGTTGGTTTATAGAATCAATTGAATAATAAATCCAAAGTAATACTAAACCTGTTGTCCGTAGGTAGGAGCCTAGGAGGCAATTTGTGTCGGTCAGACGAAAGTACAAATAATTGGGGAAAATATGAAACACCATTTTCAAAGTCATAAAATATAAGAAAAACTTGGGTATTGATTTTTTCATTTTTAAGAAAAATATGTATGAACACCTAATTTTATCCGGACCTTAAAAAAAATTATGCCTTTTATTATTTTCATGTTTATACTCTTTTAAGTCTCTTTTTATGCTTAGTTCAGGGGCCTTAACATAATTTGTCGAATTTGGTTTAATTGGGATCAAATTGGAATAAACTACACAACTTCCTAAATCAAGTTTTTTTAGCAGAACTTGAGATCTAGATGTGTTATTCAAATTATTTTTGTCTTTTCGGAAAGCTATGAGATAGCCTGATAAACCAATATTTTATCATGTTTTTAAGAATTAAAATTACTCTTATATCTAATCAAAAGCATAAAATCTGTTAATGAAAATTTCTCTAAATCTATCTTTCAGCTAATTTTTCGTATCTAATATAATGGATTTGGATCTCTTGTTCTTCATATAAGTTTTATATCTCTCTTTTATCTTTCCAACGAGGCCACGATCATATCAATTGGACAAGTATAACTCAAGTTATGGCCAAATTACGAAACTATATTTTTGCTGTCAAAATAGCGCGTTTTAGAATATTTAAATGTGCTTCAGCCCGTTTAACACCCAATTGCGACCCAATTAAGGCTCATTACGTGGTTTTCAACAACAAAAAGGACTCCTACACGTATTTAACCTATTCTTCATGAGTCTTTGACATAACTTGACACCAGGGGCGTTGTTTTCATCGAGGATTGAGTCTTTCATGCTTTTGAGAGCCGGAGACAGGTTGGAGTCAGGATTACGCTGAAAACCTTGAAGAATCACCGTGTCATCACATCAATGGAGTTTGGGGAAGCTTTGTTAGGCTAGATTTTCTTTGTAGTTAGGGCTAGATGGAACTCAATTGAATCTTTATGTTTCTGAATTAATCTTTAATGTAATTTTTCCTTTTTATATTGAATGAATGTGTCTTTACTTAGTGTCTTCTATGAGTTTTTCTTGTAGATTGAATTAGGATTCATATATGACAATAGGGATGTTGGTATATGAATTTGGTTTGACTTATTCATCATTAATTTGTATGACTATAGGAATAGACATATGAATTGTGCAATTTTTATGATTCTTGATATTAATGCTTAAA